TTAATTCCTAAATAATTTGAAGGGGTTTTATTATTCCCGGCTTCTTAATCCCCGCAGAGTGTGTCCCGTTTTTATTTCCTATTCCCTTTCTCTCTTTTTTTTTTCTAGGATCAAAATTAAACAAACATCAAAAATTTTCCTTCAACTAGCTTCAAAAAAAAAGAACCGGCCCTTGTTGACCGGCACGGGGCCCAGCCGGCTACTCCCGCGCTATCCCCATCCATGCGGAGCAAAAGAGCTTGCTAAGTAAGCTAGCTGCTGGTTGTTGACCCCTGCGCAATGCATGCGGGGGGAATTACCTCGCAACTACTAGAGCCGGCTCTGCAACGATGAGGAACCATGCGGTTTCTTTTCTTGATATATCTTGATATCTTGATAAAGCGCCAATGATGACGGGGGAGTGAAAATAAGGGGATGGGCATGGCATTGGAGTACTAGTAGTAGCAGTAGCAGTAGCAGTAGCAGTATGTATCTATGTATGTATCTTATGTATGAATGGATAGATAATAGAGGGGAAAAAACAGGTAACTCCATGCTGGCGAGCACGCTTACCTTGGGTGGGTGTTTAGCTTTCAAAAAAAAAAAAAAAAAAAAAAAAAAGGAAAGGAAAGGAAAGAAAATCAAGACAGAAAGAAAGCAAGAAAGGGGGAAAGAAGGAAAGAAAAAGAAATAGAGAAAAGAAAAAGAGGAGCAGCACGTACCAAACACATTAAAAAATGGAATAAACATAAAATACCAGCATCCCACATCATCATCAAACGCCATACCAACATTTCAAACTCCCGCCCTCCCCCTTTCCAAACATCTCGCCATTAATCCACTTCACCTTTTCCATCTCCTCATCCCCCCGAGCCACTACCACTACCCACAACAAGTAAGTGCCTCACACCCATTCTTGCAAACAATCTTACATGTCGACCCACGCCTCCTCCTTCTCATGCACACCCCCCTAGCCACGGCCGTGTCCTCCTCCAAAGAACCAGTCACACTGGCGGAGGTTCCAGGGGAGGAGGCCAGTTCCGGCTGCAGCGTGATGGAATGGATGCCGTAGGCGTGCAGGCACTCGCCGATGCACTGGGCGCGAGCCATGAAGCCGGCCAGGGACGTGTCGGAGGTAACGACGTGGGCGGTAGCGATGGCTTTGTTTTGGTTGAGGCGCCAGGCGTGGAGTTCGTGGACGGAGATGACTCCAGGGATCTGATGTGTCCCTTTGGTTCCTGAAGTTTTTATTAGATAAAGTTCTTATCGCCTCTTTTTTTTTTTTTTAGGGAGGGGGGGCGGAGGGTTTGGGATGGAGAGTGTCGTGGTATAGGAGAGGGTTGTTTGTTAGCGAAAAGGGTGTTATACGTACCGTTTCTAGATCATGTTGTACATCATCTAGATTGACGCCGAGCGGGACGGTGTTGAGCAGTATGGAGCCGCTGCTTTTCACTATTGGCGTTGACGGGAGAAAGAAAGGTGGATTGGGTGTTAGCTTGATGCCATTCTATCCTGTATTGGTCGGGATCGGAAAGGTAGAAGGGTAAAAATGAAAGAAAAAGAAGGGGTAGAAGAGGGAAGGACCCAGAAAAAGAAATATTCAAGTAACTACAGCGAACGCTTACCAAGCGGAATGGCGGAAGCCAGAATCAAAATTCCAATCGCAGTGCTGACTCCAGGGTCTGCGTAGTATCTCCCATCATGAGTTGCCTTCCAAATGATCAGAGCAGCAATGATGACGCCAATGTTGTTAATGGCATCACCGATTACATGGAGCAGCACGCCCATGACTCCCAGATCATGCAGCCGTTGGACGGATTGGGAGTTGTTGGCGTGCCGGTGATTTTCATGGGCATTCTCTCGCTGATGGAGAGAGGTTAGTAAATTTGTAAAGGGTTGCATTGGCTTTTTGTTTGAATATAGGAGCAGCAGCACGGACAAAGACATACGTTCTCAAGTTGTATGCTGGTGGTGTTCTGTTCCTGCTCTTGATCTACATCTCGGGCGCCATGGTTGTGGTTGTGGTGGTGGTGGTCATGGCCATGCTCTATTTATTGTGTTAACGTCAGTTGATTTCTTTTATGGTGCTGAAGAAAAGGGAGGCGTAAGAGGAGGGAGATTGCATATATGCACGTACCATGGAGAAAAGAAGCACTGATGAGATTCAGCGTAAGACCCACGCATCCAATGATTAGCATGAGTTCAGGTTTCTCGACCCCTAGTTAATGGATTCCAGTCAGTCGTGAAATTTAAAGCAAGAGCAGAAGAAATGGATAAACACGTACTTTCCAATGAGACGAAGCGTTCAATGGACTGCAGAATAATGCTCACGCCCAACGCGAGCAGGAAGACGCCATTGAAGAATGCACCTAGGAGCGTCGAGCGCTGCCAGCCAAACGTCAGATAACTAGGGGTTGTATCGGGGTTTTCGGAGACCTGGCAGCGAAGGGGAAAGGAAGATGTTAGCAGGATATATTGTTTTGGGTTGTGTTTTGCTTGTCAGCGGAGGGTTGACAAATATATTATATACATATATATATGTATATATGTATGTGTGTACACATGTATCATCATGTAGTTGCACACAATATTTTCATCCCGGTATGGAGTGGGTGAGTGAGCCATGCCTTTAATGCTACGAGAGCGACGACGAATCCGATCAGATCATTTAGCTAGAAATGGGCCATTTTCAGTAAATGCATATATATATATATATATTTGTATAGACATATCGTAGACAAGAAATAATGTATATATATAGCCCGTAAGAGGGATTTGGGAAGCGGGTATGGCAAATATGTATACATGGATCTAAGAATGTCGGCCCCTTACATAGTGAAACGCATCAGCAACCAGGGCTAGCGAGCGTGTGTAGAAGCCAACTGTTTCCCGGGTCTCCCCCCAACCCCGGTGAGGAGGATTATCAATTAGCTCCTGGAGGCGGACAGGACGGGCTGTAGAGCTCTGT